TAGATGCAACAATGGGTCTCTCCTCACCCAGAGAAAAGAAGAATGAAGAAAACCAAAGATTCATGGAAACAATTAGTCCTAGCAACTGGTACACCATGCGATCCGCAGCCTATACGACTATGAGACCAGAAGAACTAGATGGTGCCCAGCTACCACTGTCAACCACTCAGAGGGGGATCTATGTACGAGATCCTGGGTAGAGTGGGAGAACAATGTGGAACAAAACTCAAAATCATTTAAAAAATAAAAAAAATTTTTAAAAAAGGGACCAGGTTTGCTGGTCTGATAGAACCTGGTGGAACCACTGAGACTATGGCCCCTAGCTGCCCTTCAGGTCTGGAATTGAACCTACTCCTGTGGCTTCCAGCCAAACAAAAGATAGGCATATGAGCTGAATGAACATTTACATTAATTAGATACACTCCTTGGAGAGAACAATCCTAAGAGAATAGAAGGGCTGTTTATGCACTGGGAGACAACTCAGGGGGCAGGAGTGCATAGAGGGAAGGACACAAGGAAGAGGTAACTATCCGGAGGAAGTGGGAAAGTGTTGCATTGTGGGAAATCGTAGTCAATGTCATGAGGCAAAGTGTATGTGAGCTGCTATATGGAAAGTGAATTTCCTCTGTAAACTTTCATCCAAATCACAATAAAAATTAAAAAAAAAAAAAAAGTGGTTTCTTTAAAGACAAGTAGAACCAGTAGAACACTGTGTAACCCTGGATATCTGTTTTTAAATACCTGGGCAAAGTCTTGATGCTCCTAAAATTTACACACATCCCAAGTGGAAATCAGAGGCTAGTATTCGTTGGACCTAAGACCCACTCCTCTCAGCCTATTTTCAGATAACCTAATAAAGTTTTTCCACAATCACCATTATTTATTTTTATTAGTTTTCTCGGGCATTGATTTAAAATGTGGAGAATTTAAAAGTCGTCTCTTAGAAAGGCAGGCGTGAGGGACCTTTGATAAAAGCAAAGGTCGCACAATGCTGTTTTCTTCCAAGCCCCTCGTGTTACCCCAGCAGAGAGGCCCAGGTATTTTGGCTCTATCCCCTACCAAAGGCAGAAATACCTCTGGAGACATCTGCCGTCCCCCGAGAGACGGAAATCTGTCATAAACACTGACATACTAGCAGAAAGGGCACCCCCAGCTCTCCCGGCTCCCAGCCACACAGGGGAGCCTTCCCTCAGGAAGCTCCAAGTGGCGATCGGGATCCCCACACCCAGAGTAAATTGGGATCCCCTCCACCGTTGTCCACAGCGGCAAGACTTTCACTAGGGGAGCTCTGAGAGGCTGTCAGGGCCTCTACCCGCTTCGGAACCGGCTAGGTCTCCCTCGAGAAGCTCCGAGTGGCGGTCGGAAACCCAAGCCCACCCTGGCCACGCCTCACAGCCCACCTCACAGTGCAGAAGTTCGGTACTCGGTTCCTGCCCCCGCGCGATCCGGCAGAACACGCACTTGCTGTCGTAGCCCTCAGGCTCCAGTGACTCTGCGGCGACCTCAGAGGTCTGCGTTGGGGCCATCGTCGGTTCTGCAGTCGCCGCTGTCGCACGGTTGGGGTCTGGCTCAGTACTGTACCACCTCTGCTCCTCCGCCATGGCACCTGCTCCAGGTGGCGGAAAGCGAAGGCTTCTCTAGGTCAGCTGGGCCTTGCGAAGGGTCAGCCTCTTGCACCTCCTCCGTTTCACCTCAAGGCGTCGCCCTTTGCCTCGAGCTGGGCTGGGTAAGTAGTTGGGCGCTTGAGCCGATCCAAGCTGACGGGAGAGGAAGGGCGACGTGGTTGGGTCTCGAAGCCAAGAGTCGCTAGGGGGCGCACAAGGGCGCCGTAGGGGAGAGCTGGCAATGGTGGTAAAAATCGTCCCCAGGCCTTGAGCCTCCTTCTTCTAACGCTCGACGTCTGGCGAGACGCAGAAACGGCGCTGCGCGTTTCGATAACGTCACTGGTGCGCCCTGGCGTCCAGATTAATGGAACGTGTTGGGTGTTTTAATGCCCTCTTTTTCAAACTATTACAAAGCTTGTAATATAGCCTGCCTCAGTTTATTACACCCTCATTTTTAAATTTTAAGATTTTTAAATTTGTTATTAAGGTTAAGTGAATGAGCAAATTTATGGAGACTTTTTTCAACAGATTATTTTTGGTGCATTCGGTAGGCATTTTCTGGCACAACAACGTCGGGTGCTTAGCAAAATGTTCCAAATTGAACTTAACTTCTCTTTTCTGTTTACTTTTCTGTGTTAATAGCATCATCTAGATGAAAATAGCGGCCTTTCTTAGCTCATACTCCCCTTACACAAGTAAGTGCTGAATCCTATAGCTTATAGTCTGGAGTATTCTAGAAATTCACAGTTAATGCCTCATGTCTCACTAGTGTGATAAACTTATAATTAGTTTCTCTTCTTAATTCCATCAGTAGTAACCCTTCAGTAACTCCTTGTATCCAAGGAAAAAGTATCCATTCTTTACCTTGGTATTCAAGGTGAAGTCTGTGATCTGCTCTGAACATTAAAAAATATTTATAAGTATTAATAATACTTGACATTTGGTGAAACCTAAAATGTACCATGTGTTTCTCTAATTGTTGAAACAGTCAAGCAGGGTAGGCTTTATAATCCTCACTACAGATAATGAAGAAACAAACTAAGGAAGGACTTAACCAACACCACACAACTAACAAATGATAACACCAGAGTTCAGATAAACTAAGTCCAGAGCCCACCAGCCTTTTTCGAACACAACTTGTTAGCGCTAAAAATTGGACTAGCTCAACTGTATTAGTTACATCCTTGGTATTTGTTGATTTAGAAAATAAAAATGAATCCTATTATGAACTCAGTAATGTTTTTAGATGAAATTGTTGTTGTTGTTGTTAAGTGCCGTTGAGTCGTTTCCGACTCATAGCAACCCCATGCACAGCAGAACGATAATCACTGTCATTTCATTAGGTATTTGGTTAAAATAATGACTTGAAAAAAGTCACAATTGTGTTGCATGTAGAACTGACACATCAGGATATCACCTTGTGTGGAACTAAGGATATGATTGTAAATCACATTACTGTTATCAATAGCAAACATTTATTAAGAGCCAACTTTGGATGTTGTGCCATACTTAAAGGAAACCGTCATTTGTCCCAATTTCCCCATTACTTATCCATTTCTCTGCTCCCCTTTGCAACAAAAGTCGTGGAAAGAGTTGTCTCTAATCTCCTATTCTTTCTCACATTGCCTCCAATCAGTCTTTTGCTCCCATTGCTGTATCCACCTGCACTTGTCAAGGTCCCGATGACCTGCATGTTGCTCAACCTGATGGTGATTTCTCAGTTCTTATTTTCTCAAATGATTGATCATTGCCTCCTCCTTCACAAAATTCTCTTCTTTTGGCTTCCAGGTCTGCACACTTTCTTGATTTTCCTTCTACTCAACTGGCTGTTCCTTCTCAATTTTCTTTGCTGCTTCCTTTTCTTCTAAAACTTTCATCATTGGAGAGCTTTGGGCTTAGATTCTCTTCTCTTTAGCTACACTCACTTCCTTGGTGATCTCATTCAGTCCATGATTTTAAACACTATATATTCTCATGACTCCCAAACTTAAATCTCTAATAGAGACTTCTTCCTTAAATCCCAGACTTGAATATACTACTGCCTATCAACTACCCCAGGAGCTCTGGTAGCATGGTGGCTAAGGCACTTGACTGCCAACCAGAAGGCTGGCGGTTCAAACCCACCAGCCACTCCTCGGAAGGAAGGTTGGGCAATCCTACTTCAGTAGTGATACTGCCTCGGAAACCCAAGGAGGGGTCGCTATGAGTTGGGGCTGCCTCGACGGCAAACAACATCAACTACCCCATATAAATGTCTGACAGAAGACATAAATATGTCTGAGACTGAGCTCTTTTGGAGAGAGTTGTTCTTTCTCCTAAAACCTGCTACAACCTCAGTTGAGGGAAATTTTATTCTGCCAGTTTAGGCCAAAAACATAGAAATCATAATTTCTATTCAATCTATCAGGAAATTATTCAAAGTACATCCAAAGTCTAATATTATCACTGCTATCATTCTTGGCTGAGCTACCATAACCTCTCAGGTTATTGCAATAACCTCCTAACTGGGCTCTCTATTTCCAATCTTACCTGCTGCTGTCTAGTCTCAACACAGCTGCCAGAGTGATTTTTTTAATTTTTATTGTGGTTTGGACCAGAGTGATTCTTTTTTTCTTCCATTTTCTTCTTTTTTTAAAAAAAATTTTATTGTGATTTGGGCCCGAGTGATTCTTTTAACATTAAGTCTGATCATGTTACTCCTGTCCAACACTCTCCGATGGTTCCCCATCCCACTGAGATAAAAGCTAAAGTAATTCTCTGTAAGAGTCTATAAGTCTCTGCATCGTATGCTCAACCCATTACATTCTGTCACCAGTTGCCACCAGTGTTTTTACTGCTAATTCTGCTCCAGTCACACTGGACTCCTTGCTATTACTTGGACCACCTAAGCATGCTCCCACATTCAGACCACTGTACTGGCTGTTTCTGACAGGGATAGTCTTTCCACTACAAGTCATGCAGATTAGTCTCTCTTCCAAGTCTTTGCTCAAGTGTTTATTTTCTCAATGAGGTCTATTTTGACCACTCTTGTAACCCATCTCCCACTCTCATCCCCAACACTCTTATCCTCTTTACTCTGCTCTATTTTTTCCCCACTGCAGGTAGTTTATTTCTTGCTCATATTCATGCCCATTTCATGTTGGCTGTGGGTTTGCAGACTTCATGCCATGACCCAGACTGAGGTAGCATCCTCTGTCTGGGGTGTTGCTCTTATGCCAGTGAGGATGTTAGTTCTTGGTGAGTGGGATATGGCCTTCTTTACTATAACATGAAGTCTAATATCTGGCACACAGTAGATGATAGGAAATTAATGAATTAAAGAACAGATGTTGTTGTTAGGTGCTGTCGAGTCAGTTCCGGCTGACTCGTAAAGACCCTGTGTACAACAGAACGAAACCCTGCCTGAGCCTGTGCCATCGTCCAAGCGTTGCTATGCTTGAGCCATCATTGCAGCCACTGTGTCAATCCATCTCATTGAGTAACTATCCATTTTTCACTACCCTCTATTTTAGCAAGCATAATATTCTTCTCCAGGGACTGGTCCCTTCTGAAAGTACAAATTAGGAAATAAGTGTGAAATCCCCATTTTCTTAGTGATGCTACTAATGGCATAGCTGCTGGTATTGTCCTTTCAAGCCCAGCTTCTCTTTTTGTGGGTTCTCATTCCTCTTCCTGATGCCAAATGAATAATTCTCTTTTTTATTGCTGCTTCACATACCAGCGAAGCATTATCATTTTTCTTGGCAGAGTTGTTCCTGGAAAGATGCCAGGAACCTCAGAGGCTGCCCTGAGATCCAAGGCCCAAATCTATTGACAAGCAAATTCTTTCTCAGGAGCATCTTAGGGCATCTTCTCTTAGCAGGAGGCTGCTGGCTAGGTGCTATTCTTAGAAGAGGACAGTTAATGCTGCTAGTAGAAAAGGATTAGTTCATAAAAGGAGATGCAGAAACTGGCCACCATTTCATTTTCTTCATACCATGCACCCCAAATGAAATGAAGTATTTCAGTGTACAAAGTGAAACCAAATAACTATTATAGACATTTTGTATGTAGATGAAAATTTGCTTTGTCCTGGGGTGGAAAGGAATGGCTTTTACTGTGCCCAAAATGGGATCCATGAAATAAGTGATTAATTGAAGTAGCATTTCTTTAAAGTCTCTATAAATGTCACAAACCAGATTGAAATACAAATGGCAGTTTGGGTAAACTGCTTATAGCAAAGCTAATTTCTCCACTTAAGCATTAGATTCTTTTCCCTCCTACCCACTTAAGAATACAGCTCCAGAAATGCACCAGTTATCTCCTGTAACATCAATTTTATTCTCTTTACTGAATCATTACTATTTACCTTTTAAAATGCCACAATTTCTTCTACCTTTAAAAAAAAATTGTTTTGAGCCTACTTTCCCCACCAGAGCCTGCCTCATTTATTTGTTGCTCTGTACAGCAAATTTCCTTAAAAATAAATATCACTATTAATGCTCTCCAATTTCTTTCCTTTTTTTCCCCCTAAGGAGCTCTAGTGGTGTAGTGGTTAAGACATTTGACTGCTAACCAAAAGGTCAGAAATTTGAACTCACCAGCTGCTCTGTGGAAGAAAGATGAGTCAGTCTGCTTTAGTAAAGATGTACAGCCTTGGAAACCCATTGGGGTCACTATGAGTCAGAATTGTCTTGATGGCAGTGAGTTTGATTTGTTTCCCCTAAACCCGTTATTCTTTCAAGCTTTCATTCCCAACACTCCATCCAGACTGCCACTGTCTGGGTCAAGACTGACCTCTGTGGTGCCAAATTCAGTGGTCAATACTTAGTCACGGTCTTACCTAATCTGTTAGCAGCATTTGGCACATTTACCACTCCCTCCTCCCTTGATGGCCCTTCTTTATTTGTTTTCCAGGCTACTGCACTCTCTTAATATTCTTCCTCCCTCCTGAGCTCATTTCTCCATTTCCTACGCCATCCTTACAATCCTTTCTATACCTGAGCCCATTGCTGTAG